CGACAGAACGACAAACCTCACATTCCTTCCAGACTATAATGTGTTCTTTAATACTTTCTTTTAGTGTGTTTATAATTATATTTGCGTGTGTTGTGTTGATTGATTGATTTTTGTACTATGATGTATAATATTGGCAGCGTTAGCTGCAATAGGGGAGAAAGAGTGGTACTTTTATGTACCCCGAGATAGGAAGTATCGGAACGGAGATCGGCCGAACCGAGTCACAACTTCCGGTTATTGGAAAGCCACCGGAGCAGATAGAATGATCAGAAGTGAGAACCACCACCGGAATATTGGCCTGAAGAAAACCCTAGTTTTCTACTCCGGCAAGGCTCCTAAAGGTATTCGTACCAGTTGGATCATGAACGAGTACCGCTTGCCCCACCACGAAACCGAACGCCTCCAAAAGGTTCTGATTTCTTTTCATCCAATTCTTTAATTTCAACTTGTTTAGTTCATTTAGACATAGTTTAATTTCACATTTTTTTAGCCAAGAATCTTGCTTAATTTTGCTAAATCGGTGGTACTACAAGAAAAAAACGGCATTAGTGATACCCTCATTGCAACATATCACAAAATTGTCACTAAAAAGTGACAGTATTTTTTGTATGTCGTCACTTACAGTTCATTTTGTTGTCACTTAATCGTTTTTTTGTTGGCACTATATAGAATTAGTGATATCCTATGTAGCACGAAAATTTCAACTTCTTAATGTTTTCGCGTTTCGGACATGTTTTGTGTCCGACACTCGAGGACACCTTCCGCAAACTTTATGGGTCATTTTGCAATTTTCTAAAGAGTTAGAAACATGTTTGAAAACATAGCAAATTTTCAAATATTTTTGTTGATTTCCTAATTATTTGTATGATTTTTAATGATCAACTTGCAAATTGATAGTTGATAGTAAAATCTATTTTGAATATATTTTTGTATGAAAATATATAAAAAGTACTTATATATAAATAAAAACTTACATGTGTTTATATAGCATTTATAAATATACGTCTATACTTTTAATATCTGCATATATCCCCATTTTTGAAACAAGTCGTTTCTCATATCTGTTTTCATGTATCGTCATTTCGGTGTCCGTGCAACATAGGTTGTCACTTTATCATTTCTCTTATTAACACTATATAGACTTAGTAATACCGATACCATATTAGTGACAAATACAATATCTTTTCTCATATACACAATAAAAATAAGTGCCGTCACTCAAAAAATTATTTCTTGTGTTGAATTTAAGGTTTTGATTGAAAAGAGTATGATATATCAAGAATTTAAAATATTTAATTTGAAGAAAAAACAAAATCTGACACATGAGATTAATGTTCTTCTGACAAGTTCTGGTTTTTCTTACTATGTGTGAATCAAAGTTTCTTAAATAGGTTCACCCAAGAACACACGAGATGTGCATGAACAACTTTAAATTCAAATCAAAACCTCATTAAATACGGGAAATTATATGCTACACCTGATTATTTACATCGGGTGTGTGTGATTTCTAATTATATGTAAATTTATGGTTCCAATTCAGTCACTGTAAATAACCAGATGCACCATATAATTTCCAAATTAAATAAATACTTATGTATCATTAATTAATTAATAATTAGTTTTTGATATTGAATAAACAGGCGGAAATATCTCTATGCCGAGTGTACAAGAGAGCGGGAGTAGAAGACCACCCATCACTGCCACGCTGTACAATCCCGACAAAGGCCACGTCATCATCTTCCTCAAGAGGATCACAGTCAACGAGGAAGCAGCAGAACAACGACAGTAGCAGCAACAACAATGGAAAACTAAACGAAATAACAAGCCCAGTCAGCATCACCACTACTGCAGATATTGCCACGTCACTCGCCCTCTCGCACCAAATTACTAATAATAATAATAATAATATTAATAATCCATTATTATTAATATCTCCGGACATCGTATTCTCCGGTTCCTCTTCCTCCGGCGGGGCGAACAATATTAATATTGACGAGCTGCACAAGCTCGTCAATATTAATAATATTACTAACCGTCAGTATAATAATAGTAATAGTAATAGTAATAATATTGGTGTGCTGCCGAATCTTCTGTCGCAGTTTCAGGAGGGGGGCCCGCCGCCCCCCCTCAATCTGGCCGGAGCGGCTAGTTTCTCCGACAGGTTGTGGGATTGGAGTGCGATTAACAATGAGGCGAGCAAAGACTACACAAATCTTTTCAAGTAACTTTAGTTATTTATTGGTTTATGATTTTAATGTACTGTTGTTATATTGAATTATTGACGTAATTAATTACTATATATATACTATATATTATATTGAGATATATATGGGTAATGAGAATTTTATAATTATATATATGTTGGATTAACGTAATACTAGTGCATGTTGTCTCTTGATTTATTTGAGCACGTGAGAATTTATTAATTAATAATATAATTACTTGAATTAGGGTTTTCTTTGCTGCTAAAACACCATTTTTAATTTTCATGAAGATTATTATAACATGATTCTTTGAGATTTAATTAATGCATATATATATATATATATATATATATATATATATATATATATATATATATATATATATATGTGATTTATTAATTACCAGTGCTCATATATATAGTTCATGTACTGTACTGTATATAATTTATGTATCATTCTTTTTGTTTATTGTTATTTCTGAGTACTGACAAATCTACCTGTTATATGGAAAATTTATATGTGTGTGTGTTTGTTTGTGTGTGTATAGTTTTTTTCATTAGAGAAATGGAAATCTCTCTCTCTCTCTCTCTCTCTCTCTCTCTCTCTCTCTCTCTCTCTCTCTCTCTCTCTCTCTCTCTCTCTCTCTCTCACACATTGTTTTGTTAGGCATGTGAAAATGATAATGTGATGATGATTGAATAGGTGCAGAAAAATGATGACTGGCAGAAGACTTGTCAGAGACAAAATTAATTAATTAGGTTTGGACCCCATTTGCTTTTTTCACAACCCAAATACAAACACTAAATAATTGTCTGAATTTGCCCATTTTGCATGTCACATTTTTAGCTAACTAATCCATTATAAATGTGTTTCTCGAGACAAACTCACAAATTGTGATACAACTACACATAATTGTTTACTTCTTTGGTTGTCAAGATAAGTTTAGTTAAAATAAGATTAAATAATCTAGTGAAAATCCAATTATTTTATCGGATTTTGGGACGTCCAACAAAAAACCTTCCTAAAAAGCAAGATCGATAAGCGCTGATAATATAATATTTGCAGGTCGACGCGACAAATTATTGAGAATACCAAACATCAAACAAAATCTAATTATTTAGTTAATAATGGCTATTATTCCCAACCAAACAAGGCCTAAGTATCACTAGTCATTGTCCTACCATATTTATTGTTTTGGATTGTTGAACATATATATAGATTAAAGAAAATTCAATAAGTGTGCATAAATTAAAGCGAAAAATATTGGAAATCACTAAAATATTTTTATCATTAATTGCCTAAGAGTGTTGAAGGGCAAAATTGTAAAAAGAAAAAAACCAATGAGTAAATTATTGGTATTCTAAAATGCAAGATAATTTAGGGTGAAAATATTATTTCGTATATCTTACATTTAGCTTCAAGTTGACTTCAGAAATTCCGAAATACTCCTCGGTGTAGTTGAAAATCGCGCATTTCTTAATTTATTTCTCCAAATACAGACTGAGGTGGTACAAACCGCAAAGTTGTTAGTTGCTACGCGTACCATATTTAAAATATATATTTGTTTTTCAATTTTATCAATATAGTTGCATAAAAATTACTCCATGTGTTTTATATTAGGTGTCGTTTAAAGTTGATGCACACTGATTAAAAAAGTTATTAAATAGCTTTGATTTTATAAGGTGGAAAACAGTTCTTATTTGACAATTTTACTCATTTATAATGTTATAAGACAAAGTGACATATTATTTAAAATTAAAAAAAAAAATGGAACATTTAACAAAGTAGGAATTAATAATAAGAAAAGAATAATAGGAGCTACTAAACCTAAAAGTTGAGCTAGATTCTGCTTGGGATGTGATCTACGTGTAGCTGTTTAAACTTTAAAGCATGTTGAATAATAGTACCAGTTTTTTCTGAATTGTGGGCTAAATCTAATCGCGTGCACTTTCTTTTTTGGGATTCCCCTTCTCTAACTGCTAATTACGGCGCCGTTGTTACTGGTCGCAGTGCGATTTCAATCATTTTAAACTTTTAAACTTCAAAATTTTCTCAAAAACCTCATACTCCCTCAAATATTCAAAAATCACCCAACCTATCGGCATTCAATCCGTCACTCGACTCCCGATTTGTGATATTTTTTACTCGCTTAGTTCGTTTCAATCAATTTATTTACGTTTTAGTTATAAAAAATGTATCGGAGTTCAGAAAAAATAAAACAATTGCAAACTTGGGGAGTTTTGTGATGAAACGTTCAAAATTTTGAATTTTTCGTGCTTTTGAGCATGTCTTCTAATTTTTTAATTGGTTTTGTGCTCTAATCACAAAACTATCACAATGTATTTTGATAGTTTCGCGCTCTAGAGCACGAAAATATTGGTGGGGGAAAACAGGGTTTAGTGTTCTACAACACAAAACTATCAAAGTAAAAATAAAAATCAGGGTTTAGTGGTCTACTACACGAAATTTGTGCATAGGTTTAGTGTTCTACAACACGAAACTATGATTTTTTTTTTATCTTTTCGTGTTGTTGAACACGAAACTTTGGAACAAGTATGTTCAACGACACGAAATAAATAATTTTTTCGAAAAAAAATCTGAACAACTTATTTTGACCTCAAAATCGTAATTTGAATCGACCATTCCGATGATTGTTATTCTTATCGTAATGAGTTTCAAAGTCTCAAATTTTCAGAAATCGAAAGTAGAGATAATTTTTTTCTTCTTTTTTTTTAATTTTTTTTGTGAAATTAAAAAGAATACCAAAAATCCTGTTGCGACCTAGTAAAAGTCCCATTGCAAATAGCAAGCCCCTTGTAATTCACCCATATATATATTTTTTTATGTGAGGTTCTAGATAGTTCTGTACTAATTGAATGAAAATTGCTACTAGGTAAGAAAAATATTTGAAAGAATAAATTGCAAATAATACCCTTCAATGAAGTATATCAAATTTACACTTCCCAGTCAGTCCAATACAATCATTAAAATCCAAGTTATCAAATACAATCAACCAAAGTTCAAGCTAGTGAAAAAGATTTAAGAGAAATAAATTGCTGGAGGAATCAAATAAATAATATTCGAGAAGAATAGAACAATGAAGTAAAATAAATCGAAAAATCAAACATATAATCATCTGCCAAAATTTTCGCTTGTCAAAAACACAAGTGCTACAAAATTTTACACAAAGAATGAACTATACACAAACGTAGTTAAGGGTTTTTTTTTCATGCAGAAACGGTTTTGTCTAAATCAACGACTTTCGGGTTTCTTTTATCAGACAACATGCGCTCGTTTGTTCTTACAGCAAACCGTGAGTTCTTGCTTGTAGTATTATTGCTTTGACCTTCGGAACGCCTGGGAACATTCCTCTGCATTATACGAACAGGAATTCCACCCAAGTCAAAGTCTTCTTTTAATGACTTTGTTAAGAACCTCAAATCGGTTTCTGATAGCTTCATTTTGCCACTCACAAAGGCAACAAAAGTCGGGGGGCGGGCCTTCACCTGAGTGAAATATTTAATCTTTGGTTGTGCAGAAGAATCTTTCCAAGAATGTCTGCTCATAACCTAACACATACAACCACTTTTGTCATATACTCGGAAAAAAAATTATGAAATATTTATGTGCTGCTTCAAAGTATTGTTTGGTTCCCGTTATACAATTAAATAATCTCATGAAAGAAACCTCTCAATTAGCTAAGGTTCAATTATCAACCAAACGAGACTAGATGGATCCAATACACAATTACTCAATAAACGAAGATAAAAGGCCAATTTTTCCCAGAATTTTCAGGTCAGTTGATCCAAAAATTTATTGAACTAACCAAATATTAAATAAATCTCAATTATTTGATTAATCATCGACTACTTAAATAACATATTTATATGTTGCATCCTGCTTTGAGGATGCAGAAGTTATAGGCTCATTCTAAAAGTATATCTAAAATTTTTGAATCGACCCTGAATTTTTGGACCCATTCTAACAGTTAGTTTAAATAATAAAACATCAAACAATGTCCAGATATTTCAACATATGTACCTTGCGTAACCAGCGGTTTAGAAGAGCGGTTGACAATCTGCGACACCATTTGTCATACGTATCAACAACTTGGCGCATAACAGACAAACGGCCTTTTCCCTCAAGTGCAGAAACAAACACTACAGGTATACCCGTCACCTAACAGACAAAAATCGAGTCACTTCTTTCATCACAATAATTTCATCATTATCTCACAGAAAACAAAAGTATTTTCGTTGAAATATTTTTCTGCATTCAATGTTTCAATTGTTGAGTCCGGGATAAAAAATAGGAATATGCTATAAAATTTGATATTGACAAACTTTGTAACGGTCGATGAGTTGAAAAAACAAAACACCAACTTAGGCGAACATTGAAATTGTTCTGCCAGGTGGCGACATACGTACCTGCGGTATAACAGTCTGAACTTCTTCAGGTACGGCTTTAATCACTCTCTCGTACATTTTCGAATTTAAAAGATCCATCTTGTTCACAACAATGACCAAACCTCGCCCTTCTTCCACAGATCGCCTTGCTATCACCACTTCGGCGTGGTTCATGCTCCGTCTAGCTTTTATGATCTATTTAGAAAGAAAAAAATAATAATAAATAAAGAATGGTATATTGAGATAAAATTACTAGAGCATTTCAGTAGCAGTTCAAGAGTGTGCTATTCAGGTATCAACACATACCAATAAAGAATGGTATATTGAGATAAACATCATATTACAGCACATAAATTTTATGTACTAAGGTATGAACATAGAATTTAAAATTTTGCATGAGATTGCTCAAATATCGAAGATACAAACATAGAATTGACAAATATGCCTGAGATTGTTCGATTAACTTTGTTTGTCTTTAGATAACTGTAAGATATAGGCATATATCTTATGACCATTAGTTTACCGAATATAAAACACAAAAGTGTGACTAATTATACCAGCAAATAAACAAGCACAAAAATTCACAAAAAGACGATTAGAGCCAAAAATACTGGTACGTTAACTACAATAACTAACCTCGGCTGCATCAAGAACTAATGCAACTACGTGGGCCCTCATGAGATTTTTCCTTGATTGCACAATACTCAAGGATGATGCTCCTTTGTCCTGTTTTGTCCTCTCCAACCAACCAGCAGTATCAACCTGAACCAAAAAATAAAATTATTAAAACCATGTAATTTTGAAAAAAAAAATAGGTTTTTCGACCTAATTACAAGGTAGAATGCCTACAAACAGAGTGAACGAGTCATGTACCCATATTTGCAGGCAACAACTCTAATTATAAGGTAGAATAAACATACGATACTGTGGGATTAATATAGGTTATAAAAATTGAGATGCTTAAACGAAAGAATTGGAACGAACACATGTTTAACGCATTTGAAATTTCTTATTTTCACATATAAACGCAGCTGACAACAAGTACCAGTATTATCTCAGGCTTTGTTTATTTGTCACTGTAAAGTTTAATTGACTAAGTAGTGACTAAAAAGGAAAGAGATGATCTTACCCCTGAAATACTACAAAATAGCATAATTATTGTTACATTACGGAAGTTACTGAAAAATCACATTTAGTACCATATTAACAATCTTAATACTAAATAAGGAGCCAAACATCTTACTAACTAATTACTTAATTAATCGTATGGAATTACTACAATCCAGTCTAACAAAATTTAATCCGAACCATGTAATCGAACAAGGGCGGCTCAATTTGTTGCAACAAAATGTCACATTTTGTTAATGTTAAATTAAAATGGCATATAAAATATCTAGCACAATGAGCAAGGTCATAGAGAGTCTTGGAAACTCACAAGAAATACGCTTCTCCCGTCAAACTGAAATTGAACTCGGATAGAATCTCTGGTTAAACCAGCTTCAGGCCCAACCAAAACTCGATTTTCTTGAAGTAATGCATTCAACAATGTAGACTTCCCTACATTTGGTTTCCCTACAATTGCTAACTGCAATGGAAGCTTAGCGTCAATGTCCTCGTCCACAGAGGACCCATCATCTAGCAAATCTTCATCTAGAATTGGAAAAACAAATCATATTTCATCACGGACTATAGTCAGTTGATTAAAAGAGGCGAGTCATAATCAATTTATCTGTAAGACACAATAAAAAAAGTAAATGGGCAGTCCATTCAAACCGATTTAAGAGATTGATTAACATCAATAAATGTAAAACTCTTCTCAAACAAATGAAAAAAATTCTAAGAAGCTAGTGATATCCAAGCTTGGACAATATTTGAAAACTATTACACCAATATAAAGGGTTATTATTCTATAATAATTAAGGGAAGCACTATAAGCCTCAGCAGCACATGCCAAAATGGCACAACGATTTAAGGTATACTGTTCAAAGAAACATAGAAACTCATTTTGAATATTAAGGAGAAATATCTTTTGGCTGCGTGAGATAAGCATTGGTTTTCTGCACAAAAATACAATACGAAGTTTTGACCACCCTATTTAGCCTTCTTCCACCTAACAGGCTCACTGCTGTTTATAACCAAGTTAATAGCACCAAAACATTTTCACGCTTCAAAAACAGGGAAGATAGTTTGTTTTTGTTTCAAATAATCCAACACCTCTGTACCAATTATCTGTACTGCATTAACTAAAAATATCGACGAGCAACACTTACATTCATAACATCAAGCGGATAAATACGAAAACAACCTCTCACAAAAGAACATTAGCTGTGAGTGTTTTACCTTTTATGTGCTGGAGCACATATTCCTCAAGAGATGGCCTCAAAGCTTCATATAGCTCTGTCATTCCTAATCCAGTTTCAGCAGATAAAGCAATGGGATCACCAAATCCCAATGTATAAGCTTCACCAGCAGCAGAAGCAAGAGAACCAGAAGCATCGTCAAGCAGCTCGGCTTTATTCATTATGACAGTAGGCTTTATACCGGGGGCATGCTTTCTTAACCACTTCCCAACATCCAAATCCATGGGCAGTAGTCCATCTCTATACTCAATATAATACGTACACAAAAGTAATTAATTCATTACTCAATTGAGATGAAAAGGTTGACAAGCATTTTCTCAAATACAGATCAGCAATTTTTTCAGGCATATAATAAGAAGGAACCCAAAACTATAATTACTCAGAACACTTAGATTAATGAAAGCATCCGTGGTCAGTACTAAATCACGCGAAATTTTGATGCAATCAAACATGTTTCTTTAAAAGTTGATGATGCATTTTCAGTCCATCAATAATCATAACCAATTATCACGTGTTTCTCATGGTTCTTGAATAGCATTTACACGGAAAGGGAATGTCTAATCATCATCGTAGATATCAAGATAAACAGGCAGGGTTCCAAGACAAATAAAAGCATAGTAAGTTTCACGAGAATCACTAGAATCTATGGTTCAAAGAGGCATGAACAAGGCTAACCTTGCATCTATCAGAAAGAGTGCAAAATTGGATTTTGCCAGCACATCTCCAGTCATTGCAGCAGTTCTGCCGAGAACAGAACCTGAAGAAGCCTCGGCCTCCAGTCCAGCTGAATCAAGTATACGAAACCGTAAATCACCCAATTTAGCAACCCCGTCACGTATATCACGCGTAACGTGGTCGTTAGGGGTGTTGTAAACAAGCGCCTCCCTCCTTCGAATCAAACTGCAAAAAACTCCAACAAGCCAATATAACAGGTCAAGGACTAAAAGATGTTTTCTTTTTTCAAATATCAGAAAAGACAAAAATTTCAAGATTTTAGATGATAAACACTAACCGGTTGAATAATGCCGACTTTCCAACATTTGGGCGTCCTATGATAAGGACAGTTGGAAGCTTCTCGATACGAATTTTGGTGAAATCAATTGATTTTCGAGACGTAGGCTTAGCTTTTTTTGGCTTATCACAATCATTGTAATCGGCAGTAACCTGAAACTCTTCCATTTCACTGCTTGACTTACCCAACGGCAATGAAACAACAGAATCCAGCAACTCAACGTCAGCTTTATGCTCTGGCAATGTGCAGAAACTCACTGCATTTTGACTAAAGGAATAATGCGGTGCGCAAAGTGATATCCGATTAATCAACGTGGAGGGTGTCGCTCCAATGCCGCATATTGTTGTACCCCCTAAGCAACACAATGACATCAAATAAAAGTCAAATATAAAAAACGAAAACATTTGCAGGGTCAAAGCACATATACACAGAGTATATTGGCATGAGTATGGCAAATACATTATACACTCAACATTGACCTTATAAACTATTTGAAACAAATGCAATATAGATAGTCAAATATATAATAAATTCAGCAACAAATGCCAGAGTTAAAGAGACTTGTCACGAAAATCGAACAAATACAGAGATAAAATATTATTCCGAACATGATTAATTTAGGCATGTTTTAGACAGAAAATCAGTTCCTCTCTTCAATCAAATGCGATAAAACTACAAATCAAAACTGTTACTAAGAGGTAATTATTTACCATATTCTAATTTTACTTCACCGGTGGCATTTAACAAGATTCTTCCTCCACTCCCGATCAATTTGGAAAAAGGTTTGTGCACAAAGTATTGTACGGCGTCGTTTCTCGCGAGCAGACCAAGGGTGCGGCGGCTCTTTCCGCCGGAAAAGGCCCGAAACCATGACTGGTACATTCCCAAGGCTAACAAGTTACAGATTGTAGCGACACAACGTACATTCGCTTGCAGTAGGGTTCCACCGCTTCCAATTTTTCACCACCTAAGCGAATGAGAGAATACAACAATTACCATTGCCAAAGGATTGTACAGCTGATGCTTGAAAATGGGGGACGTATTTATGGAAAAATGATTCAACGTTTGTTTGCTGCTGAAAGAGTGCAGAGTGTAAGGGATTGAGGAGCTTTAATCTGACGCGCCGCCGTCACGAGCGGTGGTCACGGTGGTGGCTGGTGGTGGCTGGTGGTGGAGGTAGTGTGATAGATCGAATTAGGGGTTTAGGGCTTTAGCTTCCAAAAGAATTGTAAAACTGGAATTTGGTAATTTGAGAGTGAGATTTGGTAGACTTAATCCCACCTTGCACCCTCAAAATAGAGTTTTTTGGCACTTTGCACCCTAAAAAAACAATAACATCATTTTGCACCCTCAAAATACAATAAATCATTCACAATGCACCTTTAATTGATGTTGGGATTTTTTTTGGGGGGTTCAAAATAAAAAAATTAAATAGTGTTTTTCAACCTCCAACCTAATTTCGAGCGCACAAAGTACGAAAAATTAAAAATCACAACGGATTATTTACAAAAAACTATATTTTCTTATAAAATATTTTTTTATCACTAAATTATTCGATTTATAGATCTTTTATTGTAATTGGTAGAAATACTATGTAGAAATATTTGTAAGAAAATATAATTTTAAGGTAACTTGATATCGAAAATAGCTGAGGGATTTTTTTTAGTAAAATACTTTTTCTGATAAAAAATATTTTTTTAAAGGGTTATTTTATATACACCCCCGGATACAAAATAAACTATGGATAAATCCAAGCTAAAATCATCATTTGAAGAGGAGAAAGTACTATACTACCCTTATATATAATTTTCGGCCAAACTGCATTCAGCATTTATGATCCTACATTTAGCATTTTCGCTCATTTATTTATTATTAATTTTATTTTTTTTCTTTTTTTTTAACATGTTTGTTTATATATATATTATCTATATATTATATATTTTTTTTTAGATTTTTTTTTAATTAATATGTTTACTGTACTGAAAATAACTACATGTAAACTATAGTAATTCGTAGTTATGTTCTTTTTTGTTACCCCATATCTTTAGTCGATCAATTATATACACACACGAATACTGGCTACTACAAAAGAAATTCATAAACTCCACCAACAAAAGTTTACAAATTTTAATATTTTTATTATAAATCATCTCAGAACCAATAAAATACAATATGAAAATACACAAATAAATGAATATGCAACTACATGTTACTATATGTAACTAGTAATGTATAGTAATGTATACAGTCTGTTGAACATTGTAACTTGAAGCAGATGTAACTTCAACCAAAATTTTTGACACATTCAATAAGATGATCAATGGCTTTCATTAATCTGCAATTAAAATCAAAACAAAAAAATCATTTTAGTGCAAATCAACAAAAATTGAAGAAACGTCAAAACAATCAAAAATCAACAAACACCAAGAGATCGGGAGATATAGAAAGAGAAGGCCATAGCTGCAAAATTTAGACCAAACCGCCAATGACTCCTTACTCCAAGCACCTCCTACCAAAACCCTAGCTGCCGCTAACCACTCAAAGATATACAGATATCTATATAGATATATATATATATATATATATTGATATGCCTAATTGGGCCAACCCAATGGACTTACAATTTATTTACCTACTGGGCCACGAGCCCAATATTGAAGACTAATATCCCCGAGGCCCAATCACCTTCAAATAAGGTTTGGGCTCAACGATCTCATCTATGGTATAAATAACGATATAATTCATTTGCTAAAGGTACGCCCTATTATCCAAATAATACTAGGGGTCATATTCTCCCAACTATTTCCATTATCCGATGATGCGACTTTTTGAGGCGAGGGGTTTCCGCTGGATCAACCCCCGGCCTAGTTCACGTGTTCTTTGTTCGCAGGTATCTCAGGGTCATCTAGCACGTGAGCAGTGACCCACTTTGCTTTCCCAACTCCCTCAATCTCAACTATCTAAGGTGATCTATTTTTAGCTTCATCATTTTGGCGCCGTCT